AGCTGAGATTGTGCCACTGCACTCCAGCCTGGGTGATAGAGCAAGACTCCATCTTAAAAGAAAAAAAAAAAAAAAGCAGGGGAGGTTCCAAGATGGCCAAATAGGAACAGCTCCAGTTTACAGTTCCCAGCGTGAGTGATGCAGAAGATGGGTGATTTCTGCATTTCCAACTGAGGTACTGGGTTCATCTCACTGGGGCTTGTCGGACACTGGGTGCAGCCCATGGAGCATGAGCTGAAGCAGGGCGGGGCATTGTCTCACCTGGGAAGCACAAGGGGTAAGGGAATTCCCTTTCCTAGCCAAGGGGAGCTGTAACAGATGGTACCTGGAAAATCAGGACACTCCTACCCTAATACTGCACTTTTCCAATGGTCTTAGCAAATGGAACACCAGGAGACTATATCCCGCTCCTGGCTCGGAGGGTCCCATGCCCACAAAGCCTTGCTCACTGCTAGCACAGCAGTCTGAAATCGAACTGCAAGGTGGCAGCGAGGCTGGGGGAGGGGCATCCGCCCTTGCTGAGGCTTGAGTAGGTAAACAAAGCAGTCGGGAGACTCGAACTGGGTAGAGCCCACGACAGCTCAAGGAGGCCTGACTGTCTCTGTAGACTTCACCTCTGGGGGCAGGGCATAGCTGAACAAAAGGCAGTAGAAACTTCTGCAGACTTAAACGTCCTTGTCTGACAACTTTGAAGACAGTAGTGGTTCTCCTAAGGAGTTTGAGATCTGAGAACGGACAGATTGCCTCCTCAAGTAGGTCCCTGACCCCCAAGTAGCCTAACTGGGAGGCATCTCCCAGTAGCGGCTGACTGATTCCTCATACGGCTGGGTGACTCTCTGAGATGAAGCTTCCAGAGGAAGGATCAGGTAGCAACATTTGCCATTCTGCCTTATTTGCTATTCTGCAGCTTTCGCTGGTGATACCCAGGCAAACAGGGTCTAGAGTGGACCTCCAACAAACTCCAACAGATCTGCAGCTGAGGGTCCTGATTGTTAGAAGGAAAACTAACAAAGAGAAAGGACATCCACACCAAAATCCCATCTGTATGTCACCATCATCAAAGACCAAAGGTAGATAAAACCACAAAGATGGGGAGAAACCAGAGCAGAAAAGCTGAAAATTCTAAAAGTCACAGCGCCTCTTCTCCTCCAAAGGAACACAGCTCGCCAGCAGTGGAACAAACCTGGACAGAGAATGACTTTGACGAGTTGATAGAAGAAGGCTTCAGA